CTCAGRGAAARGATCCATGGATACCTCGATCCTCCRTGTAGGTYCAGGCACATCCGAATTTYCAGCTTGTGGGTTCCAGCCACCACCTGCTGGCTGGCTGCTTCCTCATCTCCACAGAACCTCTGCAGAGCCACAGAACACTTGTCCCTACAGCCCTGCCCCTTTTCCAGGAGCACTATTCCCAAATGATCCCGGCTCCACTGCGGGCACAGCCTCCCTTTCCCTTCTCTTTCCATTTGTGCTGCTTTCCCTTTCTGACTCAGCTCAGCCACTGCTAATTCATTTCTGCATCACTCCTGGAGAATCCAACGCAGGTTGGTGGTTTCACTCTTCCCTCAGCTCTCTGCCCTACCCCTGTTTGGCTCTTCACCTCCCTCTGCTGCCTCGGGCCCCCAACTCCTCTCAGCTCCAGCTCCATTTGCAGAATCCTGACCCACCTCCCAATCTTCTGTCTCCCTCCCCTCAAACAAACTAGGAGGAGGTTTGGGGGGATTTTATTGTATTTTTTTGTTATACCCATTTCTTTGTGATTCAGAAAGCCTTAATTCCTATCATGGCCTTTAACACCCCATCCCCTTTTCTTTCCCTGCTCTGATTCACTCCTTACACACATTAATCACTGGAATGTCCAACCCTTGTTTTCTCGACAAGAACTCCTGAGTACCTCATTCCTGTCTCCAAAACTGCCAGAATTTTGTCACAGGYGTTACAGCTCCTCCTCTGATCTCTGTGATCCTTGGGGGCTGGCATTTGAATCCTCCTGCATGGCACACCTGCTGAAATCTGTGCTGGCTTAGTGACAGCAATTTCTGCTCTGAGAGAGACATTCACTGGCAAATTCCTTTGTAATTTACACTGCTATCAGGATTATTTACAGCTTGTAAGGAAAAACGTGTSTGCTGTACTTATAACACAAATGTTGTGGATTTCAAAACAGCAAATATTTGCCAAAACTAAAACGACCCCTTGTGAAGCTCTGCCATTCCTCTCATATTTTACATTCATCAGAATCGATTACTTAAGTTCASTTGAAACTGTGATTGATGGGAATCTCGATATATACTTTACTTCCATATTTTTTCCACCTGCAGTATTTTTTCTCATTTCCCCTTCTCTTTCCCTAGATTCYATCAGGGAGATTGATTTAGCTGAGRGATTCAGTCTATGATTTTCCACTGGTGTTGAAAACTAGGCAGTGAATTGCTGGCCATCTCTGGYAATCTTGAATGCTGCCATTCCAAGGGTCAGGGCACAACACAGAATTACCTACATAAAACAGAGCACAGGAACAAACTTAGCTCTGGGAATTAAAAATCCCACTTGGAGACAATGCTGGTCCCAGTACTGASAGGGTTAAGCAGCCCAAATCTCTCTTTGTTTCCAGCCTGCCCGGGAAGGAGTCAGGAGAGGAGCTCTCTGTGGAATTCCAGCAGGAGAAAGATGCCCAAGGAATCCCGAGGCTACAGCTGGACAGCAATGAAAGGCTGCACACCGAGCCCTCAAAAGGAATTTTCATTCACCTCTTCATGCACATCATCCCCCAAATCACCTGCTGTTACTGATTCACTCGAGGTTTATCGGGAATAAAATCTACTTTCTCYACACGGGGGTTAACATGAGCTCCCGATGCCACCTACTGACAGCTGGAGACAGCACCGGAGYTCTGCCGCCCCAGAGCTCTCGGCTTTTCCATTAGGTAATTTCCTCTCCATTTCCTTCTATTTATCAACTGTCCCGGAGACTGAATGGAGCTCTTCTAAATATTTGCTTCCAGTCACTATCCCGTCCCCCACTTTCATCCTCCAAGGATCTCTTTCCACTCATTAGGGTGACATTCCTTCAAATTTTCTCAACTCTTTCAACTGTGACCAATTGTTCAGCCTGGAGCAAAGGCTCCAGGGGGGGGGGCCTTCTGGCTCTCCACAATTCCCTGAGAGGAGGGGGCAACTGGGGGGATTGGACTCTGCTCCCAGGAAACAGGGACAGGAGGAGAGGGAACGGCCTGAAGCTGTGCCAGGGGCGGTTCAGGCTGGATATTGGGAAAGGTTTGTCTTGGGAAGGGCTGGCACAGCCCTTTAAATGCCCTAAAGGGATTTAAAAGCCCTTTAAATCCCCGGAGGGGTTTAAAAGCCTTGTGGATGAGGCACTTGGGGCCATGAATCAGGACTGGCTTTGGCAGTGCTGGGGGAATGGTCGGACCAATGATCTTTGAGGGTTTTTCCAACCTTTTCCAACCTTGGAGGATGATCCTGTGATTCTAATTTGACCAAGAGCAGCCAATCCCTCCCAGTAATTGGGAGAGGTTATTGACCCATCCCATGTACACACAAAATATCTCATCACAAATTCATACATAACCCACCTGCACAAGCTTAAGTTCAGAAACTTTAATGACTCAATAATATTTTCCATACGCTTAATAACCAAYCCCTGAGTCAAGAAATACCAACACCTCTGCAAGAGGCAGCATTGTATCAGAAGCAGGCTCTGGGCCAGGGGGAGGGAATAGGAGCCCCAAATCCACTCTTGACTGTTGTCTCCTTGCTTTCAGCATTTTGAGGGTTTTTCCTACCCTCCATCTGCTTTGGATATTGACAACACATCCAAATTGCCTTCTGGGCTATGGAAGGTGTTTGCAAGCATTATGAGCCAAAGGAACTATAACCCATTATGGGACCCTTGCAGCCCTTAAGATATAAATAAGATTAGAATAGGATCCATTGAGGAATCCAGTGTAATATCCAGTTAGTTCTGCTGGATGGAGGTCAAGACATTCCCTATTTCCTCGGCTCACTGGGAGAAGTGTCCATACTTGCAGGCAGCAGCCAGGATCAGGCCGGAGCAGAGCCCTGTGGTGAGCAGGGTCAGGGCACACACCAGGGAATTGTGCTCCCTGAGCCCCACAGGAACCCTCAGCATCGATTCCTYGTATGCCTACAAAGAAAAACAAATGGGTAACGTGCATTTGACCAGCTGTTTCTTTTTGACTGCAACCCAGAAGATTAGGAACCAGACCCTGGTTGAATTCACCCTKGGCTAAGGCTTCTTCTGGGATTCARCATCAGACATCCCCTTTAATTCACAGCAAACACAGCTCAGGGGATGGATCTGCTGCCATCTGTATCCCTGCATTTATTCCTACTCCAGCCTTGCCACTGAGGGCATGTAGGGAATCCTGCAGGGAGAGCAGCTCCCA